GAGAGGCAGATGAAACGTCATTGGCAAGGTTGGTGAGGTCATGGGAAATGGAAAAGTTCTGGATTTTAGTCTCTTTTTTTTCGTAGGCGTTACAAATGTACCATTTATGACACTTGAGGAAAAACACGTTCCAGCCCTCAGACCTCACAGATAAATGGGCCCAAGAACTGCAGCATTCCCGATAAATGGGAGAACGTGTGAACCTCCTACGAGTTAGTTTGCATGGTCAGTAAAAAACCACAAGGGCACTACTGTGACGTAATTCACTGAACTTATCATGAAGTCTTTCAAAAGATTTGCCACGGAGTCATTTTGTTTATGATGCAGGAACTCCTCCTCTCCACTAACGCTCCCTGTATGTCTTGTCTTCCTCAGAGGTCCTACACTTTGATAGTGGAAGCCTTGGACTTCAACAATGAAACCAGTGGTAAGTATTTCTCCTGGTCTGGTATCTCCATCTTACCTTCTGTTCATTTCTTCTTCTTCTTTTTTTCTTTTTTTTTTTTCCTTTCCCGCCTGTCACAGCAGTGCCTGGGAGGAGTTTCGTTGAAGGTCAGGGAAGGAAGTTGATTCTTCCTGAACCCCCCTGCCCTCTTCCACATGGTCCACTGGGTGGTTTTGTGTGTGCGTGTGTGTTAAAGTGTGTTGACAGGTGGCTACAGGGAGGAGATGAGTTAAAGGAAGTAAGAGGAAGAAGATGGGATTGGGGAGGGCTGTCAAGGTAGAGGAAGGGTGCCCCCCCGCCCCCTTTTCTTTTTTTTCTTTTTTCTTTTTTAAGACAACAGAGCCTCGCTGCTCCCCCAATAGAAAAAACATTTTTATTTGGCTCATGACTGATGGCGGGTGCTGCCAGCCAGGGTCGGGGTCACACTGTCTCACTGTCACTGAGGCGTGAAACATAGTTCATCCAGCCGACCAGCTTGAGGCTTTGACTGGTGTGTAGGAGACTGAAGCCTCAGAGCTCTGTTTGATTTTAAAGTGACCTCTGGCCTGTGCATGACCGCAGGCATATAGGCGGGCTGAGCTCAGAGCATGTGCGGTGGACAACTACTAGTCAATAATGTTTGGGTAAATGCCTTGAAAAATACAGATGGTCGATACCACAGACGGGTGGGGGTTAAGATGATAATAAAAAGATGTTCAGCCACAAAAGCGGCTTTCTATCACCACGCAAAATGCTAGTGAACTGGAGTGAGTAGGACAAGTGACAAGAAGTAGACACCACTATGAGAGAGGAGGTGGCGCTTTGTGGGGATTTTCACATGGGCAGAGTAAGAGAGGGCCCAGCGGGGTATCTGTGAAATATTGGTACTTAAACTGCTTGAAATTATTTTTGACAACTCTGCCACTCTGAGACTTGAGCTGCTCCTCCCATAATTATGCGATCAACCTGACTAAATTCTGGTTCCTGCTGGGATTCCTGCTGGCTGGTGGTCAGCTTTGTGATTCCAGATGAGGGCAGGGCCTTATCCCGTGCTTGTTTATGTCTTTTTCGAGCTCAGCGAGGTTTCGGTCTTTTCTGCTGTATTTGCCGCTCCCCGGAGACCCATTAGGGCATTGGTGTGAAAAGCCCCCCGAATGTACACATGAGGTGCTGTTTAAGCCTCTGAGCCTCCAGCAGGCTGGCTTGAGGTTCTGTAGGCTTCGT